AATAAGAAGGCTCCTTCTAGGCTATCGTGTTGCTCTCAATACTGAGGCTCACGCTAAAATGGAACCAAGCGAGAAAAACACTACTGCACCTCTCCCTCTGTACTCTCCGTTTTTAAACTTGCAGGAATTGGAAGACGAGAGCTTGTTCCATTACCACCACTGCTACTTTGCAGGGAACGGAATGATGTGAGACTCTTCATGGAACCGCTCTTCGAACTCGTTGAATCTCCTTAAAATAACACATCAGCGAAAAAGTGCACCCGACACAGTTACGAGGCAATAAGTTATGTAGCTTTTCATTTGGCCTTCGACAAGCATTGAGCAAAACTTGAGAACAAATGTTCAAGTTTCTTGCCAGAATAATCATAATTTTACTGAAATATGACATAGCGCCATGCTGAAGCTTTTTTCGACGCAGCAATTAATCGGCAGGCCATATATATTTTGAGAATGGTAAGATATCGTTCGTCAAAAAATTGAACGAAAGCAATTTCGAAAGCGCCATAATAATTATTTTTAGTCGACACTGAATATGTCACTGAGCGCTCGTTTACATGGAGGGTTAACCGGTATACAGTGTAGGTCCATAGAAATGCAAAAACAGTGGCTAAAATAATTGAAAAGCTGAAAAGAAAAGGGATAGAGATATCTAGAAGGCACACGCCCATGAAAAACTTATACAGCGGTCATTCTCAACAAGAAAAAATGTTGCCATGAAAACTTTGCTTAGCAAAGTTGCCGAGGACGACCGCTGACTTGAATAATCAGCAAGCGAAAGGAAGAAAATTAAGCCATTGTACTCAAAATAAACGCAGTACGGAGTGAATCGATAAAAGTAGAAGAAAGAGTAAAAAAAACTAGCTGGAAATCAAACTGCAACAGTAGATAACCGACTAGTTCTCTTGTAGATGTACTTACCTTTTTCAACAGATAACATTCCTGAGTCGGTCACTATATCGTCCACTTCTTCACATCCTCCACCTTAACCAAAAAATCATGCAGGGAAAAAGAAATACAGGAAATTTTGTAAAGAAAGAAGACAGTGGCGCAACTGAAAAGAGCTGAAAGCGAATAGAAAATATCAATACTTTCTGAAAAAAAATTGCACAACAAGAGCTGTGGATATAGAACATTTATATCAAACAGGAAACCCAGCTGTTCTTTTGGAAATTCTATGAGGCACAATAGACCTACCTTGAGCATGCTCACCATCTCTGTTTTCCACTTCATCTAGGTACATCAGTTTACGCATCTTCTTATATTGGAAATTGTCCAGCTCCATTACCTTAACTTCATTTTTCGAATACAAGAAAATGATTACTTAAAAGCAAACGCTTCTGAAAGATTCACATAACTACCAGCAACGTAACACTCTTAAAATTGTGTAGGCCAGTTAATGAAAACAAGGATTAATACAGAATTACTTCCATAACTTGGAACTCACGATGGCTTTTGTTCTCGAAATGAGCTCTTGAATCACTCCCTTGTGCTCATGGCGCGTGATGAAGGAGTGCTTGAACATATGATATTTGCCAGCGAATGAAAGCACAGGCCATATTTTGCAATCAAGATGAAGTATCATGTTTTTGAAGTGGAACTTCTTTGAGGTACTCAGACAATTTTATTGTATGCTTGATTGTGAGCGCACTATTGATAGGATACACTCATCATCACGCTAACGCAAAAAAGAACTATAAGTGCGACCAATTTTCAACACTCGCTTGAATAAGTCTTCTACAGAGTGCTGCATATATCAAAACAAAAAGACGCGTGGCTGGTCTACACTGTTGATAGGTGTATGTACTAGGAGATGAATACGCGTTTTCCTGGAAAGGCATTCTTCCGATCGATCCGGGCGATCTTCAACAAAGTTAAGAATACGAGGTTTCAGGCTGCGCTATGTATTATACATTACCATGAATGGTAAAAAGCGATGATCGATAACTTACATTCAACAGTTCTCCAGTAGCAGGACGTTGTTCAGCATCCTTTTGCAAACAAATGTGAACAAAGTCTTTGAACCAATCAGACCTGAATAATTTTCGTGACTTTCAGTTTTTCAACTTGGGAAAGAAAAAAAAACTAACCAGTCGGGTTGATTTTCGTTTGTAACAGGAGCCAACTTTGGAGGGTCATTCTGGGCAATGTGGTAAAGAGCAGACATAGCATTCATGTTAAATAAAGGAGGTCTTCTTTCAGCTGTAACATCAGCAGTGAACACATTTCTAATGGTAAGATACCAACAAATCAATCTGAATTCTCATTCCACAAGAAAATGGGAACGGTAACCGACATAATGCTCACGATAGCTTACCTAATTCAATGCACGTAATCCCAAGCGACCAAATATCGGCTTTTTCCGTATAATGACCTTCATCCATAGCAAGAATTACTTCCGGAGCCATGAAAAAGGGCGTGCCAATGAAAGTTTGAGCTGGGTCTGACATTGAAGCAGATCCGAAATCAGCTAGAATGATTATCATTTCAACATCACATGCCTTGGAAAACACTACCTTGCAAAACGGGTGGAGAAATTAAGTTGAGAGAAAACACCGAATGAGAAAAGAAGAAACTGACCAAGCTTCACATGAGCCGTATCAGACAAGAGGATATTTCCAGCTTTAATATCGCGATGAATTCTCTTCAGCTGATGAAGATAATGCAAGGCTGACAACGTCTCACTGCATATTGCTGAGATTTCTATCTCCCGTAGCCCTTGACGTAAAACGTCGACAATATCGGCGGCCGAGCCAATGCAATACTCCATCACAAGCTATACAAAAACACTCAGCACATTTGACGGCAAGAAACAAGGAACTAGCAAAAGACTAAAAATGCGAGATTGGAAGAAGTGACTTATTAACTTACCCAACATGTCTGTTCCTTCAGAAAACATGCTTTATATTCAACAATGTGGGGATGCTTTATTTTATTGAGAAATGCCACCTGAATATGAATTTATAGGAACTGAACCAAGTAGAACTTCTGAGAAAAGAAATCGCAAAAGGTTCCAACCTCTTTCAGGATATCGGCCCACTTCTCGCCTGCTTGCTTACCCGAGTAGGCCATCTTCTTGATGGCAACCGTTCCGCTTGTTTCTTTGTCATACGCCTGGAAGTGCTTCATGTACCACTCAGTATTTCAATACTGTTAACAACAACAACAAAAACACTAGATTAATTGGTAGGAAAAACAACAATTTTGCGATACGTACAAAGTAAACAGCCCCGAATGACCCATGTCCAATTTCTCGGAGATCGTCATAGCGCGATTCCGGATCTTTGTGACTGAAAAGGGCAGCAACAGCGGGATCCTAAATGAAAAACCATTTGAATAAAAGAGTGAGACGTATACAAAACTATTGGAAAAAACCGCAGGCAAGAAAAATTTGGAAAGGGTGAAGGGAATGAAACATCTTGCCACCTCCTTGAAAGACAGGAAAGACAGGGCAATCAGGCGCAATGTGGCTCGGGTGAGTTGAGGGAGGGAGCACTCAATAAAAAAGCCTCAGAGACTAAGCCAATGCAGCAGGGACGAACTCCGTAGAATACAAAATTGCTTCCGCACACCGGAGTTCCTCTCCTCTTCAAAAGCTTAGTCCTGAAACTGAGCGTTTCCGTGATTTTGACGCGATGTTGCGTGCTGCCCCCCCCCTCGAGCCACATTGCGCCGGCGACCATTTCCGCAAAGTTACTTTGGTGATCAGTATACTAGCTCTCGAAAATTGCTGAAGGCTAAAATGTCTGTACGCCTGATGGCAAGTTAAGCCAAAATCAAACTCACTTTTATAACACCAGGTTTAACCCCGGATGGGGCCATAATCAATGCGGGAAACCGCTGTTGGTATCATCAAACGACAAATAAGAAGCACGACAGGGTTTTCTTCAGTACACGATTCGAATGCGCGCACCTGTAACAAATAATGGACTCCGGCAATGTGTGAAAGAATCGACGCAACAAGATTCCGATAAATCAAGCGATTTCACTTGGAAGCAAAAAAGCATAAAGAAGATGTGATCACAAACTATAAAGCTATCACTGTAGCCTAAGACAATGTTCTGAACAGATTAGTGCAAAAAGAATGTGAATCAGTACGTAGGGAAGTGAGTCACTTGAGCCCATTAAATTCAGAAGACTCTACTGATAAGCGAAAGAGTGTGCGGAATCGAAATCGAAGGGCCGAAATTCTCTCCACTGAGGGTATCATCGACGGCACGTGACTCACAGACACAAACCGACAGCCAGATAAGCTGCCTGGGCGTGCGCGGCCACAAAGCTGCAAAGGACGAGAAACCGGAATGGTCTGGGAAAAATACGAATAGCTCCATACAACACACAATAAACTAAAAGAAGCAGCAGCACAGAAAACAACCAACAACAGAAAACAAAACTGAAATATTCGGCACCGAAACAAAACTGGTTATTGTGGATTGAAAGCGTATGAAGCTATGCAGGATTACCTCCTGCTAATGTAAAAGAGTAGGCAGTTCATAAGAGCACTTGAAATTGCCACCAAACGCGTAAAAAACTTGGAAAGATCGGAAGACAACTTTTGCACGTTCGCATCGCATGGCGCGCACATTTCAGAGACACGGTAGCGACTTTGGGCTGCAATGCAGAAATGGCATGTCAATCGGCGACGATATCCAGATTTTCACATTTTAAATTCATGTTCCTACTTTTGTTTGCCTTTGAGCAGTGTTTTAGAGGCTGACTAATTCCAGATGGCAACTGCTGTGCAAGCAGCATCCCAAAGCTGTGGGTGCAAAGGTGTCCGCTTCTGTGCTCTTTGCGAGATGTCCGAAAGAGTTCAGAATTTATTAAGGAAGGAGGACAATAAGTGGGTTGCTTGCATCTACGGGTGTTTGATGTGGAATGAATACTGTATATATTTCAATAGATATGCGGACTATGATGTGTACGTGTACAAGTCAGGGCCTGGTAAATGCGTAAGGTGCCCAGCATTGAATGCGACTGCTTCCATTGAAGATGTTATGGCAGGTGAGTTGGATATCTACCGCATTACGTTGACGTGGTCTTATCCGAAACGTCACGGTGGATTGGCTCTGCTTTGATGTCTATCTGCGTGCCTTTTCAACAAAACCGCACGCAGTTGTAATCAAATGCAGAAAATTACCACCTTGTTGCACAAGTGTGAAGCGTCGAATGTGTTCAAAAGCGAAGCCTCTCCCCTGCAAGAATCACGAGTTGTTGCACCACGTGCCCCTCTTTCGGTACGGAAGCTCCAGAGTTGGTTTCGCAGCCAGTGATCACCAGGTAACAGCAGATGAAAGGCGTAGGACGCTCGATGGCCATTTTCTATCCTTAGGTGCACGTTCGTCTTGCTAGGCTTGGCTTCAAGGAGTGGTGCTCCACGCTGTGCCTAGCAAAACGGTTCTGGCTCCAGCAACACGTGGGATTTTACTTGATTGGTTAATAACGCGCCTTCTGCGCTAGGGTACCGCTCTTTCTCGCCCTAGAAAGGACCACTTGTCGGCGCGTGATCCCGACCATGGCTTTATGCACACGAGCCAAATAATGTATTCCCCACGCCTTTGGGCCTTTTTTTCGTAATAA